GTGGATTTTGTGGAGAGTCCACGTAGGACATGTAGTATGCGTCAGTCCATTCTGTCTGACGTCCTGTCCGCCATGGCCTGTCTCATGGAACGGACAAAGACTCAACAGCCGTCCTGTCTCACAGATCAGTGGATCGTCGGTCTATGAACCCTAGACCCTAAACCCTGGACCGACTTGCACTTCTGACATGAAGGTCAGTCAGGACAGGGAAACAGTGGGCAGCTGCTCAAAGTGACACAGACACTCTGCATGCATGTTTCGGTGTGCCTCTGTGTGTGTGTGTGTGTGTGTGGCAGGACCTGCCCCATGCCCTTCATGTGCCTACGGACGACAAGCAGGTGGACAACGGTGCGGCTGCGGGCCCCCCGCAGAAGAAGCAGAAGACCGAGGGCACCATGGTGCACAGCGGCCTGCTCCACCTGCTGGCCATGTGTGAATATTTCGGCATGGATAAGCATGTGGCTGCCATCCTCGCGGCGCTCTACTCGTGCATCCCAAAGTGGTCACTCGATGTGACCGCCTTCATCCTGGAGCTCAAGCCGAACCTGCTCGCGAGTGCTGACTTCCCTAGGGCCGAACTCAGTGACTCGCTATCGACCCTCCTGGTGCGGCAGACACACACTTACTCTGGCTTCAGCAAGGACAGTCTTAAGAGGCTGCCCCTGGACCTTATCGTAGACGTGGTGGGGAGGTTAGCCCTACGATATCGTTGATATGGACGACTGACTTTTCATCGGGAGAGGTTCTCTCTCAGTCTCCCTCGCCCTGTGTGTATGAGAGAGTCACTCACGGTGGGCTGGTTTGTGTGGCGGCGCACATGGCATGCTGTAGATAGATGAAATGCACGCAATGCACCGTGACGTCAGCCAGGCCTGATCAGATGAGCATGGTGTGGTGGGTGTGTGATGCAGATTGGACGCATATACGCCCTACTTTCGTGTTTCAGTGAATGTGGATAGTCCTCTGACGCATTGGCCTCTCAATTTGTCCAGGCCAAGCAGTTTCACGATTCGTTTGCGAGCTTGAAATTTTTCCAGAGTGGCGAGCTCGAAGGCTGCTCGGCGTTGTCGTGGTCATCTCACCTCACAGAGTCTCGGATACAAGCTAGACATCCCACCTGCAGCCATCTATCCCTTCCCCGAGACTGCTCTCCCTCTTCCCTCTTCTCTCCCTAGACCTGTCCCCTCCACACGACACCAAGGCGACCACAGAAACATCTGATCTGCAGGTCTTCGCATCTTGGTGTCATCCGAATCACCACAACTTGAAGCATGGCTCTGAAGGATCTGAAGCGACGGCTGCTGCTGGCTGGTGCTTCCAGCATGAGAGGCGCTGGTCAATGTGCATATGTTCTCCTACGCTGTGTGGACCTTGGCATGAAGCTCGTCGGCCCGCTGCTGGTCAGAGAGAGAAGAACCCAATACATGTGATAGGTGTCTGTCATTGTGTCTGTGTGTGGTGTTTGTGATCAGATATTGTTTGCTTTCGGCCTTTATGGGTTCATAGCGTATTCGTTCTTTGCCTTCATCGTCCCGTACGAGCCGTGGCCGGCGTGGCAGCGCACCCTGCTCTCCTTGGTGGGCATCTTCCTGCTCGCAAACATCATATACAACTACCTTGGCGCCATCTTCACAGGTCAGTCACCATCACCCACAACATATGTGACCGACACCGACGCATGAGACCCACGGGCTGTTTGCTGGCTTCTCGTCGTGTGTGTGTCTGTTCGATGTGCAGATCCGGGCAGTCCGCCAGAATATGGAGGGGTAGGCTTCTAGGCTGGAGGAACACTTTCTTCTGTCGATTGGCGAGTGTTTGCAAACTGTGTGTGTGTGTCTGGTGTGTCCTGTCCCTTCAGACTGAGATGGAGGAGGGCGCTGGGATGGGGGGGCTGGGGGATGAAGTCAAGCAATGCCAAAAATGTGAGGTGACGCATACCGACGGACGACATTCGTGTGGCCTGTCTTCATTCCATGCATGTGTGATGTCTGTCATGCCTGTCTGGGTGTCAGGTTCTCGCTTGAAGCCTGCCAGGTGTCACCACTGTAGCGTGTGCAACCGATGTGTTCTCAAAATGGACCATCACGTAAGTAAATCAATGACGACAGAGGAGACAGAGATGGCATGCCATGGTCGATCCGATCGCTGCGTGTGTGGTGGTGTGGGGTGTGTGTGTCTTCAGTGTCCCTGGGTGAACAACTGCGTCGGTTTCCACAACTACCGGTACTTTTGGCTGTTCCTCGTCTATTTGGCCATGGGCTGCACTTTCGTCATCGCAACTGTCGCCAGGGCCTTCTATGTCGCCATATTCACACCGGTCAGTCAGTCAGCAGACGAGACGCCCGCAGACACAGCATAGCCCTCACCCACTTGTGTGGTGGTGCACGTGTGTGTGAATGAATGGCTATGCAGCGTCAGTCTGAGTTTCCTTTCTTCGGCCGGCAGTGTGTGGCCCTGACATTCGTCATCTGCTGTGCGGTGCGCAACACGCCCTGCCAGAGAGAATGTCTGTGTGCACGACACATATGTCATGTCATGGCATGGCATGGTGTGTTGTGGTCCTGTGTGCAGATTGAGTTGGCCATGTGTGTGTTGGCGACCTTTCACGTCTACCTGGCCCTCACGAACCAAACCACTCTCGAATTCCAGGTAGCTGACCGACACAGTGTGCACGGGCACTCACTCATCTCACTCATCGTCATGTTTGTGTGCAGCTGAATCTGCACACACGGGCGAGGGCCAGGTGGAATGGAGTGGTGAGTCAGCACACACACACGGAGGGAGGGGAAGCGACGACACGACACACGTGGATCCTACCCCTTCCTTCTATCGCTTCGTTTTGTGTGTCAGAATTTTCGCAATCCCTACGATCTGGGGCGGAAACGAAACATGCAGCAGGTGTTCGGGCCATCAAGGTGAGTCGGTCTCTCTCACACGCTCTGATTGATGCGCTGCTCTATCAAGGAGACAGTCGGATGCATCCGCCTGCGTGTGTGGGTGTGTATGCAGGTTTCCAATATGGATGATGCCTTACTTGGCCGAACCACCAGAAGGTAGGTGCCACCTACTCAATACATGACGCCATTCACCATCCACCCAGCCACCACACCGCGTGTCATGAATCCCTGTCTCCCTCGATCCTTCAGGGGATGGTTTATCATTCCGAGCGCTGGGCAAGCCGGCCGTTCTGCGGCTGCCGCAACGACCGAAATGCGACCGACCAGCGACCCACAACGCAGCAGCAGGATGATTGGTGGATGGATGTAAAGAGGGAGGAGGTGTGGTGGGGTGGGGTGTGTCGGTCGGTCAGTCAGGAAGAGCACTGTCTGTCTGTCTGTCTGTTGGTTGTGCAGCATGGCTTAGTGTGTCTGGTACAGTGTGTGTTGTACGTGTGTGTACTGACTTGTATAGGGGCGGGCAGTCGGGAAACAAACATGTACACACATGCATATATGCAGCAATCAATCTTGTTTTTATCAATCAGTCAAGATTGCTTGTCGATCACATCAACCGACATCCGACCTTTCATTATGTATTGCATCCATCCGCCAGTCGGTCAGGTGCCCTGTGCGATAAGCTGTCTTGTGCGCTGCATCTGCTCCTGGAACATGGCCTCCTGCTCACGCTGACGCACAAACGACTCCTCAAGGGACAACTGCCCACACAACACACATAACACGGATCCGCACACGTCCCCCCACCATGCTCATCCCTCTCTCTCTCTCCCACCTGCAGCTGGCTAATCTGCACAGCCAGGTCGGCCTTGTCCTGCCGGAGCTCATCCACTGACTCGTGTGTCTTGCCAGGCCCTGGCCGTGACGCCAGGAAGCCCCTCAGAGAGGCACTGAGTGTTGCGGGCGCTGTTGTGTCGCCGTCGTGTATGTGCCTCAGGTAATACAGCGCCTCCTCACAGGCGGCAGAGGCGCAGTGGAGCCGACCCTGGTAGAACGAATGCACAGATAGATAAGATGGTCGTGTCTCCGCGTCCCTGTCAATTACCTTATCCAATTGCTCTTTGGCCTCCGTCAGTCTCTCCCCCGCCACCTCAAGCAGCACACCGTCCCACTGGGCCTCCCAACCACCATCACCATCACCAGCACCAGCCTCGACAACCCCCTCCCCCTCCCTCTCTGCCTCATCAGTCTGCGACGGGGCGGTCGTCTGTCGGGCTGGTTTCCACTCCCAGCCGTAAGCAGCGCCGTATGTGGTGGGGGCCTCTTCGCCGGGAGCTTTGGGGAGCGGGTGGCTGTAGGCCTTGACGGGTGGTTTGGGGGGTGTGTGCTGCACTGGTGGCGGCTGCAGGGTGTCGCTTCGCGGAGGGGGCGGGATGGGAGGGCCGAATGGCGGTGGCTCTGCTGACTGGGCGTCGCTTGGTGGCTCCAAGGGCTGCTCAGGCTGCGAGGGAAGGCGGTCTTCATGTTCAGGCATGTGCGGCGAGAGAGAACGAGTCTCCTTCTTCTTCGGATGCGACCAAGGACGGTCCCTGTCTCCCTCTCCGTCGCTGACAACCCCCCTTCGCCTGTCGCGCCGCCTGAGCATTGCATCCTGTCGCCTCTGCCGCTTCTCATCGCTGCCGCTGAGCTTCTTCTCCAGATGCTCAGCCCGCCTGTTGTGTGCACACCGGCTGCAGACCCCCTTGGTGCCGCCGTCCCCGCCTCGCCGCTTCTCGCTCTTGAACGAGAAAACAAATCCACACCCAAAGCAGTCGAGCAGCTTGGTGCTTGGTGGGCGCCACGGGGTGCCTGAAGCCACGGAGCCGGGTATGACCTGCAGTGCCAGCTTGGCCTGCTTGACGCCCTCGGCCAGCCATTTCTGCCGCACTGACTCGATGCCCTCGCCACCTCTGCATGTGTGGACAAGACACAATGACATGGGGAACACGTGTTTGTGTCGGTTGCCTACCCAGGGAAGCGGAGTTCGTGTGCGTAGTGGGCGTATGAGGAGTTTGGCGGGCAGCGATCCTTTTCCGCCGGCCGAATGATGACTCGTCTTGGAGGGGGGTACTCCTTCTTCTTGGGCTGCGGTGGTGGTGCCGCCGGCTGCTCCTCTCTCCGCGGCTCCCTCATGCTCTCCCTTTGTTTGGTCCGTGGCATCGCAGTGGCGGGCCGCACGCGCGTTTGGGGCTTCACCTGTGCTGATGGCGGTGGGGATGGTGCTGGTGCTGGTGACCGTGATCGCGGTCGTTTCGCTGCTTTCTTGGGCTCGGCGGATTTTGGCGCAGCTTTGATCATCGTCTTGGGCCTCTTCTTCTTCAGCTCTGCACGTGTCTCCGTCACATTCGCTTTTGGCTCGGGTGCTGGCGCGGATGCAGACGGTGGCTCTCCCCCTTCCATGGGCGGCGGGGCGGCGGCTTTGCCAGCGTGTTTCAGCCAGGGGTTCTCCTTCTTGCCGCCCTTCCGCTTGCCGCGGCACGGAGGCGAGGCGGAGCGGGCTCTCTGCTGCTCCTTCCCGGGTGATGGTCCCCTCTTGCCGCCTTTTGGCTGTTTCTCCTCCTTCCTCGCTACAGGAGGCGCCGATGCCGGCCGTGGTGGCGCCAGAGGAGGTAATGTCGACCTCTTCTTGCTGATGGGCGGCAAAGCGGATGGCTTCGGGCCACTCACGGCAGGCAATGGCGAGGGCATCGCCGGCTTGGTAGTCTCTTCTGGTGTTTGTTGTGCTGATTGCTTCTTCCTTTGGTCAGCTGCCCTCTTCTGCGGCTTGACAGCAGGGGGAGGGGGAGGGGGAGGGAGCTCTGTTGGGGGAGGGGGTGGCGGTGGATGAGGTCGCTTGCCAGGCTTGGATATCACGATTGGCATCTTGGCTGCCTTGCGCTGGAGCTCCTTGGGGCGGAACTGTGTCTTGAATGGGAAACGGTCGATGGCGATGGGGCAGTGTGTGCGCTGCAGCGACTGCAGGTCACGCAGACGGGAGTGGCGTTCACGGTAGACTTTCTGCAGACAGAGGGCAAGACAGAGAATCCTCCCAGCAGCAGTGCTCTGTCTGTCTGTCTGTGTGTCTAATGACTGACATTGATCATCTTGTTGAGGTCATACACTCGTCTGAGCAGCGCCACCGAGCCGGCATGGTCAAAGGTCTCATCCCTCCTGCATCAACAACACAC